TCAACCTTGGCGCCAAGGAGAATCCACGTTCAACTTTCATATTGCCAGCTTGCATGACTCTGACAGGTACGAGTTAACTCTGATTCTGAATGGCTTCAAAGATTGTTTTACGTGTGAATGTTAGGAAATATAACATGGATATGTTGCAATCATGTTGTATAGCCAGTTTATCGCTTTTTATTTTAGATTCATGCATGACTGAGCTACGTAGATGCCATCGGCATTGCATTAACCTAGTCAAGGCTGTTGGTGTATGGTTGTGTTGGCTAAATGGTTTGTTTTCTTTAGGCCGGAGTTGTTAAATATGGTCGGCCGGTTACTATGTTGTCGAGATAGTCAAAGTTTAAACATGGCTTTACTTTTTATTTTCGTTGATAAGGAAAGAACGACCAAACATGGTCATTTTGGCCAAGCCACGGAGGTGTCATTTTAATTTGTTCTTTGCTTTTCTTCTTACCGACATTGGTGGGGGCATGACAATGTTGTAGAAGTAAAGGAATTTGTGGCCGAAAAAACAAGAAAAAAAACGAAGTTGTTTATAAAAGAGCAGCTTTGCTGAGGAAAACAAAGTTGTTTAACAAAGAAGGGGTGGGGGGCCAATCATGGTCGTTTTGGTCTATGTGGCAATGGAAGAATTGCCGCGGTACCGTCTTGGGGTCTTCTTCTCAACAACGTTGTTTTGGTCCCAACATCGTTGTGAGGCATGACTTGAGTCCTTTGCCCGTAACGCTACTTGAGAAGAGAGTCTTGTTAGAAGCTACTCTAATTAAATTAAATAGAAAATAAGCAAACCAAACGTGATGGTTTTATTACCATGTTCCTTGTTGAAAAAGGACTAGGATTGGCCAATGTAGTTCCCGCAGCACTGCAAGGGATTGTTGTGCAGGACAATAATGTTGGTCGTATTCGAGGATCCGCAGGTTTGTTGTGGAGAAATCCCATTTAAAACAACATTGCAGCTTGCTTTAATTTTGGCCAAAACAGCGCTGCGGGAGTAGCAACAACGCTGTATGGGGGATTCTTTTGGGCCAGGGTTGCCCGGATTGGAGTTGGATGCCTTATGCAATTCCAAAGAAAAAACCTGTGTTGTTTGGAGAAAACAACGTTGTGCTCAAACAACATTGCGGGTTCGTGACGGAAAAAGAAGCGATAATTGAAGCGGCCGAAAGAAAAAAAATCGTAATAAAAAGTAATTCGGCCAAAGCAGCCCTGGAAAAGAAAAAAAAATAAAAATTTATTCAGCTCTGCGACTGTTGTGGCCAAACAGCTCTGGCGGGAAAAAAAAAAATAATAATAAATAAATAGCGGGCGGCCAAAACAGCCCTGCTATAAAAAAAAAAAATTAAAAAAAAAAGTCTCCCAGCGCTGCAGCTAGCAGCCCTGATTATTTAAAAAAAAAAAATCCATATTGTTGGCCGCAAAACCAACTTGGCAAAAGTTTTATGATGTTTCCGCCGAAGCCGAGTTGTGGTGCGACGACTTTGTTTTCGTTCTTTGCAACGATGTCGTCGGGGTCGCAGGGCTGGGACAACAACGCCGTATTGGAAAAAGGACTGCGTATGACCAGTGCAACGTCGCGGACGAGTTTGGATAGATGCGCCCGGTAACAAGGAATAAACACGTCTGGCTTCACAACATTGCAGGTTCACACCACAACATTGCATAGAAGGCTGGCAGGAAAGGTAAAATCTAATCAGCTCATCATAATCATATACAGTCTTGTTCAATTCCTTGTGGATTCAAAGCCAAATAGAAGTTCGGTTTTTTTTAGGAGCAATGTCAACAATTTGGTTCATAATTCTTATAAACCAAATTGTGGGGGGCATTTGTTGACACCTAAAATTAATTTGTCCCGAAATTAAATGCCGCATTAAATAGTCTCGGCATTTAATTCGATACCGTGGGCAAAAAATGGCGTCGTTTGAAGTAAAACGGTATCGTTTGGAGTTAAAACGGTACCGCGAAACAGAAAAACGGTACCGCAAGGAAGCTGACCGGTACCGCAACACCGGAAACGACACCGCCGGCCGAAAATAAAGAGGCCGCTCGTTTAATGAAGGGTGAGGAGGAGTTTTGATTATTTAATTATTATTTGTTATTCCTTTGGAGAAAACAGTACCGCAAGGAGGCTCAGCGGTACCGCGGTACTGGAAACGATACCGAAGAATAAAAAAGGGCCGCGCGTGTGCTTTCTTGTTGGAGAAGGAGTTTTGGTTATAATTAATTAATATTTTTATTCCTTGTTGGAGGGGGAAAATCGGTACCGCGGAGAGTTAAAACGGTACCGCGAAACAGAAAATCGGTGCCGCGAGGAATCTCGGCGGTACCGCGAAGCTGGAGAGAGGCCGCGCAGTGTAGGTGTTGGGAAGGGAGTTTGTTTATAATTAATTATTATTTTTATTCCTTATTGGAAGGGGAAAATCGGTACCGCGGAGAGTTAAAACGGTACCGCGGATTTAAAAACGGTGCCGCGAGAGCCTGGCAAGCGGTACAGATGGGCAAGTGACCAAAATTCACACGGCCCAATGCGAGCGCCGATTGCGGCGTTTCCATGGATTAATATTTGTTGGCTAAATCAGCGGTGTCGTTTAATTCAAAACGGTACCGCGAGTAGGCCCAACGGTACCGCGGATTAGCAAACGACAGTGTTAAAATTAAAACAGTGTCGCGAAGCTCAAAAGTTCAACGACATCGCGGGACAAGGAAACGATGTTGTTTAACTGAGAACGACGCCGGGGGTGAGAGTTTGACGGTGAGTTAACAATGAGGGCAGATTTAATTAATTAGTATTTTATTATTATTTTAGACGGTATCGTTTAATACGATGCCGCGGAGAAGTAAAACGACACCGTTTAAGGCATCAACAACGCCGTAGTATTACTAAGCGATGTCGTTTTGTTAAAAACCATACCACGATGGTTTGGATTTTGGCGAGTGGCCCGGCAATCTCAACGACACCGCAAGACAAGAAAAACGGTACCGTTTGGTAGAGAACAATGTCGTGGAATGATAAACGACATTGTTTGATGGGACCGGGATGGAGCAGTACAAGGTCGGCATCGATTAGTGAAAGGCGATGCCACGGAAAGATTAAACGATGCCGCAGGAGGTATCAACGACATCGCGGTATCATAAACGATATCGTTTGATTAAAAACGATATCGCAGTGGTTCAGAGTTCGGCCAAGGGTGGCCCGCCAAGCCCAACGACGGCGCAAGAGTAGAAAACGACGTTGTTTGATGGACTAACAATGTCGTTGGTTAAACCGGGTCGGGGCAGTCGAGTTGGATTATAAAACGACACCGTTTGGTGAAACGGCATCGTTACATGGACAAGGTTGTAGGTCGTTTCGCCGAGTTTCTGCAAACAGGAGCGGTTTCGATGGCACGTGATTATCACGCAACAAGGAGGAAGTTACCTGCACGGATGACGGGAATGAAGACGTGGGAGACAAAGGCGCGAAGGCAGTTACTACGACGAGGAGAAGCGCGAAGTATAAAGATTGGGAAGAGAGAGAAGTTCAGGACGGCAAAATCAAATCACAACTGCACCATTGCAGAATTATCCTTTTTCTCTCTAGTTTCGTAGAACCGCTCTGTCAAAGAACTCCTTTGCAGAGTCGTAGATCGTAGCTTGTAGTCGTAGTCGCGGAGCTCTCCAGAGGAACCTCCATAGGAGTAGAGGTAACGTAACTTAGAACACTCCTGGTTCGATTTTCTGTTTATTCGAACACCCTCGTTCGAACGTAGTTTGGAGAGGTGTTGAACCGAATAACAGTTGTTTGATTAGAAGTCAAAGGTGTATCGATCAAATCAACGACGCCGACACCGGCGGCGGCCATTTGACGATCGTCTTTGTTTCTGTTTTAATCGATCAAATCAACGGCGCCGACACCGGCGGCGGATATTTGACGGTTGTGATTGACGTGTGTTTTTGTGTTTTTCTTGAAAACCGTGCACAGTTAACACACGAGTTTCGCCAACGAAACAGGTATTCATTAGCCCAAAAAACAGAGCAATGAAAACAGAGCCTGAATTCCGACGTTACATTCGGAATTGGGACCGAATTCTGCTTGGTCTCGAAGAACGAGTGAAGCTGAAAATGGAAAAGGAAGGAAATTTCATCTTTAGGGTTTTAGTACCTTTAAATCGAGGCGCTTTTCCCAGCCAGCGGGGACTTGGACGTCGAGGTCCAATTCCTGAAACTCATTGCCGTCCGACCCACCAACGGCGGAGCTAGTACTGCCGCCGCCGCCGCCGAGCAAATCCCTTGTAATCAGAGAGGGTTCGCCGGCGCCGACAGCGCGGTGTCGGAGTTTTTTTCCTCCTGAGAGAGGAATTGCATCGCCGTGGGGTCTGCCGTCGGGCGGCGGAGCAGGGCAAGGACAGAGGAGACTTCCGTGTTCAGCATACAGGAGATCCCCAGCTCAATCCTCTTCTTCTTGCTCTTCCTGTTCGCCATGTGAAAAGGATTGAAGCGGCGGTGGAGGTTGGGTGGGTAGGGTATTAGTTTTTTTATTTTTTTTTATTTTTTAATGTATGTAATAATAGGGTGGAAAATATGATTTTTTATTTTTTATTTTTAATAATTTTTTAGGGCTAAATTGCAAGTTTGGTCACTAGAATTACTTAAAAATTTCACGTTTGCCACTAACATTACTTTATTCCATTCGTAGTCACTCAAATTAGTTTTACAGTTCAAGTTTGGTCACTCTCCGTTAGTCTCCGTTAAGTTTATCCTACATGGCAGTCAACTCTAAAAATTGACCGTTAAATCAGTGACCTGTCAATTAAAAAATAATATTTCAATTTTCCACCTCATTATCTCAACCCATTCAACGATTAAAAAAAATTAAATTATTTATTTTTAGCCCTCCCATTGTTGCAGCTGGATCGCTCTTAGACACACTCGTCGTCGCCGCCGCCCGCCGCCGAATCGACAGAGTTCAGGGTTTCGAAGGCGACAGAGTTCAGGCATTCGAGGACACGAAAGCCTGCGTCATGGGGCTGGTGGACTCCGGTCTCACCACCATCCATCGCTTCTTCATCCACCCTCGGGAAAACGACATCGTGGTTGTCGCAGGGGTCGGGGATCTGATCGTCCACCTCATGCCGCCGATGATAGACATGGGGCGCGGGCGGTTGTCGGAGGAGGTGGTGGTGGAGCAGATCAGGGAGGCGGCGGGGACTTGGGGGTTCTTCCAGGTCGTCAATCACGGTGTGGCAGTGGAGCTCATTTAGGAAATCGGAGACCGATTTCGACAGGAATCTGGAGTTAGTGTATGGGATCTGATGCGCAGTGGACATCTTCCGTTTCCTCAGCTCGTTGCTGAATGTCGTGGAAGTGAGCGAAGGGAATTTGTACAAGACTTCTGATGAGAATGTTCAGCTTTTCACCCTGGTTTTGATTAATTCGGCGATCTAGCTCAGTGGAGACACCATTGGTAATCATCCCAAGCTTCTGAGGATGATGCGGTGCGCAATAGAGACCAGTAACGTCGCCTTCGAGCGCCGTACTACCAAGACTGCAGCGAGAGCACCGAGGTGAAGAAACACAAAGAGAAGCCCATCGCATTCGAAGAAACTCGACTTCGACGAACTTCGTTCCTCGCCGGAGAGCTACAATTTGTTCTTTCTCCGGTCAATTTTCACAGATCCGTTCAGACCACTTCATTCTCCTTCGTTAACACTACTTAACCATTGCAGCTTCTATGTTCTTCGTTAAATTAAGAATTCATGTAGCACCAATCGCGGGAACAAAGTAGATGAACAAGGGGGAAAAGGTCTTAAATGGCCAAAGTTATCAAAACCCAACGGAAGAAGCTGAAAGAATTCATCTTTCAATTTCCTACAAGAAGTCACGGTGGAGGGGATCCGCCATCGCCGAAGAAGAAAGGTGAAATTTATTTTTTATGTTTTACTTATTCTTTTTAAAATATTAATTTTTTATTATTATTTAATTGCCACGTCACTTATTTAACAGTCAATTGTTAGAATTGACTGCCACGTCAGATAAAGTTAACGGAGACTAACGGAGAGTGACCAAACTTGAACTGTAAAACTAATTTAAGTGACTACAAATAGAATAAAGTAATGTTAGTGGCAAATGTGAAATTTTTAAGTAATTCTAGTGACCAAACTTGCAATTTAGCCAATTTTTTAGTTGTCACGTCACTAAGTTAACGGTCAACTTTGAGAGTTGACTGCCACATCAGTCAAAGTTAACGGAGTTGAACGGAGAGTGACCAAACATGAACGGTTTGAGTAATCTGAAGTACCACCAATGGATTTAAATATTTCGAGTGACCAAACTCGAACGTTTTTTGTAATCTCAGTGACCAACCATGCAATTAACCCCTATTTTAACAGTTTGGATTTACTTAATTATTCTCCAAATCGATCCGAATGTTTAGAGTATTTGAAGATTTTTATACTAATGCGCAATGCAGTTAAAAGCGCGATTCTACTTAGAAGCGGAAAATGGGTAAAATCCTAAACATAGAATCAAAGCGTAAAATCGTAAGTTTTTTACGCACCCTCTAAAATAGCTAAAATAGATTAAGTACAACATATAGTATGTAAAATGTGAGTGTGTAGATTTTCGATAAGTGGATAACTACATTAAATTCATAATTAAAATGTAATATCTAACACATAAACTAATTTGCGTTGACTTAGAGAAAACTCATAGCATCTTAATAATAAGCTCATAAACGTAGATCATAATCCGTAAACGAGCTTGAGAATCCAAATTCTCATAAGCTGGTTTGAGTTTACATAATTACATATGATCAATTACCGATAAAATTTCAACGTAACCCAGGAAAGTGCCACAGGTGAAGATTAAGGGAGAAGACTGATAGAAGGTCAGCGGCTGTTGAGAATTCCATTAGGTGTCTTTTCAACCTATTGTGAAGCCCCTATTTCGACACTAGTTGTAGAAAGAGTGATGAATCATGTTTTCCTTTTTTTTTATTTTTTGCTGATATGTCTCCAAAATTACATCGTTTTTGGCCAATTAGCACATTTTAATGAGATTATCAAAATCGTATAAAAACGCTTCAGAATCGCGATTATACCGATTTTAAGCGATTTTATCGATTTTACCAATGTTTTAACCAGTTTTTGTGACTACGCGATTTTAGGTAGAAACAGGAACGTTTTGGTGGCCTGGATACGTAAAAACGTAAGTTTTTACGTTTTAATGCGCGATTTTGACTACAATGATAATGCGTAACTCGAATATAAATAAATTGGTACGGTTATTTTTTGCGTGAGTGAAAAACTGCTTGTTTTAAGTAACTCCATCACGTCGTCATAGTCGACAGTCCATCTGCTCCACGGACATTTGCTTCCTTTGGGAGTCGAAGACTACGCGGTGAAATTGAAAGGCGTTTATACCGATCAACAATGTGGAGTCGCCCTTGAGAGCTGGGAAGTACGAGCTTCGCATCAGCCACAAGCAGTAGTGTTCGCCGTCATTCGCGAGCCGGAAAAGGCTCTCGACGGGCAGCTCGAACCTCGACCCGCCCTCGAGGTTGATAAAGAGCGAAGGGAACGTTTTCGTCGGGGCGGCCGCCTTCAGAAGCTTGTCGGGCCTTCCCAGGTAGCAGAGCTCGTTCGGGCCGACCGACGCTGGCTCAGCCCCGGCAGCGTTAAGCAGGAACTTGATCTCATCCTTGATGTCCATGTAGGCATAATTTGGCATGATCGTGTGGCTAGATCCGCTGTCCACGGCGGCCATGCCGTCCCCGGCCCCGCCATCAATCTCGGCCTCGATTTCCGTCTGGCCGAGGAAGACGGACACCACTCGGACGTAGTAGTGCAAGCCGGTGCCAAAACTCATGGGGGCTGGATTCCATCCCAGCTCCACTCCCTCGCCGACCGCCAAATAGTTGGCCTTGTAGTCTTTAGCGTCCAGGGGGCCGAAGCACATGGCCAAGGGACCTCCTCCAAGCTGGGAAACAATGGAGGTCTTTTCCGGGCCGACCCCGAGGATACCGTCGAAGCCCATCTGACGGAGTCGGCTGGGTGTCCCGACGTTGCACCCGAAGGTGAAGTTGAGCTCCTTGGTGCCCTCTTTCGGTCTCTTGACCTTGAGGGTATCGATACTGACGTAGCCCATAGCGTCTTCACCTTGGACGTAGGACGCCGAGAAGATGCACCGCGAACCGTGGCAAGCGCTGTGGAAACTATCAGCACACACCGGGTGATTGCAGGCCACGTACCGGAATGTGGTGGATTTGAAAAGGCGGAAGCTGGGATTCATTCGCTTCTTGTACTCGGAATCGGCTTTGCTTTGACAGTAGAGCCATGTTATGCTGCTGCCGGAGTCGATGAGGGCTTTCTGCGGCTGCGGGGGATTCCCCAAGCTGAATTTGGCCACGAAAAAGGTCGGGCCTCCATTGACCGGGATGGTCGTCTGGTTATCAGGTTGGGTGCCGATCTGGAATGTTTGCGTGTGGTCACCGCCGGCATGTTGGACGACGATGAAGGGGAAGACGTACCCCTTGGGACGCAGACGAGATGATGATGAGGTGGTGGTGTTTGATAACGCCGGGGAAGCTGCCGCAAGGGTGATGATGACGAAGGCGGCCAGGACCAGGGCAGTAGCATCGAAACGATGGGGTTCCATGGCTTGCTCTAGTTTTTAGGAAGGAAGCAAATTAAATGGGGTTTTGATCCAAGGTGTTTCAGACGCAGAGAGAGAGAGAGAGGAGAGGAGAGATTGTGAGTAACAAGGTTTTGGTGCGAGTTTCTTCAAGCTAAGGGGATCGCATCCCCCTTTTATAGCACCTAGATTCACACAAACGACGAGTTTTACCTGCTTCGCGAATGGGTTGTTCAGCGGTGCGCCATGCATGATTTCACCTAATTAACCATATCTCTTTCTTATAGTTTGCTTTCTCTTCGTTTTGCACGTTCGGGAGGTGGAGATGTCACTTAGCGTGAGCCAAACTGCCTATCCTAACACTAGTTAGTTAGTTAGTTAGTTAATTAATTGATTAATCAATCGATCATGTTATAAACACCCTGCTAGGAATCGGGAAATTGCCGGAATCGATAAACCAAGAATACGAAAGCGAGAATCAAAAACACGACACACGATTTACGTGGTTCACTAACACAATGTGTGTTAGCTACGTCCACGTGTGTGAGAGAGAGAGCCAGTTTCACTATATCAAGGAGATTGCAGATTACAGAGGAGTATGAGAAGTATTTATAGTACTTCTCCATGTGGGTCTAAACCTAATCCAATCGGACAAAGGAAATGGTTACAGACCAGGCCCAGAATTCGAATCCAAATAGAATAGACACTATTACTTAAAGTCAACAAATTCACCTGCATCAACCTGATTCGATCTGATCATAAGTGAGTTTAAACCGCTTGATGATAAAATTTCGGTAATGAATTTTACTTGCTTTTGTAATAAACAGATTGGGTCGTCGTGAGTGTGGATTTTGTTAAAAATTCGCCACGCTTTATCAAACCGGTCAAAGCGCGAGTTCAATCCAGTGTTGACGAATTTAGGGTCGGGGGACGAGTTTTCATCCACTTTTGTAATTAACGGATTCAGTATCGAATTTGACCCGGTCAAAGCGGGTTTAACCCGATATTGATGAATTTTGTGTCGGGAACGTACTTTACCCGCTTTTGTGATAAACGAATTGGGACGGGTGTGGAATCTGTTAAATAGTCGACGCACTTTATCAAACTGGTCAAAGCGAGTTGAATCCAGTGTTGACAAATTTAGGTGTGGGGACGAGTTTTACCTGCTCTGTCATTAATGAATTGGGCTGGGTGTGTTTTTATTATTATTTAACTTTTATTAATTAATCAAATGTTTTGATTATCCTTTTTATGAATGTGTATTCAACCTAATTCGATCCGGTCAAAGCAAGTTCAACCCAATGTTGGCAAATTTTTTGTTGGAACGAATTTTACCCCTTTTTTTGTTATTAACGGTTGGGTGAGGTAAAGATTTTGTTAAACGACTTTCCCTCATTTGTCGAACCACTAAATTAGTCAAAGCGAGTTGAATAAAGTGTAAAGAATTTAGGGGAGCAAATCCGGTCAATAACCTTTTGGTCAATAACCATGCATAACTCAATCACCATCCGCCACATCAGCGTCCTTCTCTCTCTTGAAAAGTCTTTAATTGACGATTTCTCACTTGTTTTAAGTCAAAAATTAATTTTTTTGCATAGTTAGATTAGATTAATTGTGCTCTTCAAAATGA